TCGCTCGGTCCGGCCACCATTATCGCCGATATAGGCAAGAAACTTGATGACTCAATCGCTACACAGCATCGATTGTTGTGTACTGCTTTCTTGGCCGCTGCAAGTACCATTGAAACTTGAGGGCTACTTCGCCTACTTGCTCAAAGGATGAGGCGAATGATGCAGACTGGTCAAGGGATAGATATTTAAGCAGGGTAGGGTAGAAGTAGTTCAACGCAATACGCCCATCGGTTACCATTAGTCTATTCGTCGAAACGTACAGAAATGGAAAACAGTACGGAAATTGGCTGCCCAATGGTCATTGTAATCACAGTGGCTTTCCCGTCTTCTGGGCATTCGATAGCTGCTGTCAACATGGCATTCAACGGGTCTGAACGAAACGATAAGGGCGACATTTTTAATGGACAGACAACTGGACGTCGCCGCCATTCTAGGCGTTCCTCAGTTCAGAACAGTGACGGTGGCTATGCGCTTGCGGGTTTACTCGCTGTAGGTTAGATGTTATGGTCGCCCCAACGCTAAGATACGAGATAGCCTTCAACTGAAGACACAACCAATTTGTGTATCGCGTTCTGAGCTGCTTTGCGCTATACCGTTTAATTCAACAAAAGGAACTAAGACAGCGGAACAATTCTATCAACAGAAGTAACGACAACGGCTATAATGATTCTATCATATATGTAGTGTAAATGCCATATATCTATAAAAATAGGATTTTTTTGACGTTTTCCTGCATAATTCACCCCCGACCACCCTTCTTCCTTAAAAGTTCAAAGCTGATAATCGCAGTGACGTAGCGGCCACATCAGTATAGCGTCAGCTAAACGCGCTGCTATACTTACCGATAATAATAACTAGAAAAATGAAAATTTGTGAAACGCCGCCACTGTTGACGGCAGCAGGGAACATATCGTAGTAACAAAAGTTGCTTTTCAAATTTCAGCTTTAAAGAACGACCGGCGATAGACTACCAAAAATGCCATGGAGTAGTGCTGTTCTGAAGGGTCGTAAACAGTAAATAAATGATGATCATGATGAAGGCCCTGGCTTCTGTCACCCAGCGACGAAGCTGCAACTGCTAATCATCGCATCGCCATCATCTATAACATAAACAAGCAATAAATAAAAGTGAATAATGTGATCAGCAATAGTCACCGCTCAACTTTTATGTGAGCCCGGGCAAAATAAAAGCGCAGCTTTACCCTTTTAACGACAATTACGTCTATGTACTAACGGCGATATCATGGTAATTGCATAGCCTTATATATGTAAAGCTGTTGTCTGCTGTTCTGCACTGCCACCATTCATCTGCCTAATATTGAATAAATCGTCGTTAGTGGAATCATTTCAACTCTGTTGGCATAGGACACCAATCGTCTTTGCAGTTCCGTACTTTGCAAGTACGCATACAGTGACGAACAAGCAAGTCAAAGAATATCGATTTCCTTGAGTAGCCATATCGGGGGTTTCATGGTTACAGCCCAGTTCCACCTCCCACTTGGCTAATTCCCAGCAATCGGAGTAATCACAGCGGTACATAATCGTCGTTAGTTAGTGAGCAGCAGGTAAGTCATTTTGCGTTTCCGATGATGCGTTCGTTGTTACCAAGAAGCGATGGACAAAGTGCGCCGAACTGGGCTTGTCATGGTAGTTGGGCTTGAGTTGGTAGCATACAGTGACTCCATGTTTCATCTCAACTGATTCAACAAGAGACTTATGGACATATCGATTGGTTTCCGCTGTCACTGTAGACAGCTCCTCCATCGAGTCCCCTATAGGATCCATTGACCCACGTTCACCTAACCGATGTCTGCCGACGTTACTTTTCCGACATGCGCAATACGTGTGTCTGTGTGCGTATTGTGATGACTCTTTGCCTGATCTTACCTCTTTCTCGGTACACTTACTTATGCACGCATACGTATGTACACAGTACCACCCACCAAGCGTATTGATTCGTCGGTTGTCTGTCGTGGCCGACAAGACAGCCGTTCGTTCACCCTTCTTTTACCTATACAATATTTGCCTGCTGCCCATGAAAGCAGCGACGGCGACCAGGCGGCGACGGCAACTAGCTAACTGCCATAGACTCTGTCTAGGCGGCTTTTCCAGGCTATTTTTTCCCTTTTATCCCGTGTTTTTGTTGCTTTATCGGCTTGTTTCATCCTTTTGCTCGTTTCGTTGCTGCCTTTCGCACTGACAAAGGTGGCAACTGCTTGCCTCAGTTTTCGGTGCAGATTGCCCGTTCGATCTTCGATTTACTCCCCGTTTAACGCTATCGCTGTTTCTCGCTCATCTATCGGTTGCTCGTCGCACGTATTAGTTTTCATCGACCATCTCCTTTTTCCTTATCGTTATCGTTGCTATGCTTTTTCTTCTCTTTTATTTTGGTACTTCCTCGTGACTTTTTCTGTTGACGCTTTTATTTCCAAATGCCTTCATCAGCCTAATGTATCTTGGAGTGGGGAAAAAACCGAAATTCTAAGCGGGTGACAGGTTTATGTGACAAAACGAGTCGGCGCGTGCCTCATCACTGTTATGTGAGGCTTTGCATAGCAAAAGTGCAAGCTGCTTAGATCGTATGCATGTCGATCGTGCAAGTGCATATGTCTTTCTTTTAGGAGTGCGAGCCATGAAGGTGATGGAATTAACTGGGGGGTCGGCTAACCTTCGGAAGGCGATGGACCTAGCTTACGGCTACTACTGCCTTTGCTGTTGCTATGTAAAACGCTATGGCACGAATGTAACACGAAATGCCACTAATGTATTGGAACAAATTTACAAGCTTTGGTTGCATGGTAATCGTCGCTTTTCGACCGTAGTCACCGCTTCGTCATACCATATAATGGCTTCCGTAGAAAGATTGATCTCGACCACGGCCCACATTTTCTGCCCACCATTCCTTTTGATCCCTACTGTCTTTAGCTCTAAAGTATAGCATGCGCGTCTGCAGCATACTAGTCGGTCAGGGGCTACTGCGAAGATGTACAACATTACAACGAAAGTAGGAGTAATTCTTCGTTGCCCTCCTACATGCACCCTACGCTGTTCTATACATTAGCAGGAGCAGAACCCTGGCGACATCCCGCACGGCCACCGCCGGTAGTAACTTGTCGATAACTTCCGAGCGGCTTCCGTGTCGGAGAGTAAGCAGGGTACGCATGAACAAGTCTATCCGTCCATCCGTCAGCTAGCAGTAATTTCACTAGACACACTGAGACATTGATACAAAGTAGCTTCCGTTCAGCTAGCTCTGCTTGCCGGTGTTCTGCCTTAGCTAGCAAACAGCTTGGTGATGTACAGACATGACCGAGCGAAGATTTAGCCTTCCGCGTCCCTGAGGGGGGGGGGGGGGTGAATCACTGGAAAGCTGCTGCCTGTCACTCGGTGCTCCTGACTTTACCACAATTTCGAAGGGACCATGGGCATTATTCTGATCGATTTAAGTGGAAGACATCGTTATCGTTTCGAAAAGCAACTAAAACCGAAGAACGAGAGGTGAGCTATACGGACTACGGTAGCTACAGCAGTCGAGTCTCCGAAGGCACCAGTTCTCTAAGGAAAAAAAGACTGAATGAAAAAAGAATATAAGTCCGAGAGGAAAGAAAGTCAAAAAAAGGTAAGAGCTCAGAGAACCGTGCCGCTGCCTCCAGGTTGAGCACATCGCCTGGCCGCTGGTCCGGGCATCGATGACGGCGAAAAAAAACGAACGAAGTCGATGGGAACGATGAAAATGAAGAAATCATCATTTTTATCGGGGTGGATAGCTCAAAGATACGCAGCAGTTGGAGCGGTGGCGGCGGCATCCGCAACGTAAGCGAAACCCAGATAGTACCGAAGCAGTAGTAACAAGTGGAAATGAGCTACTTTTGCTTTGCGACTGCCAATGCCAATACTGTGGAGGACGCTGCCCTTGCTAGCACCGTTGTCAAGCAACGGGCCTTTCATCGCCGAGAACCGGCACCATTGTCCGCAGCGGCACTGTCTATCTATCTTTGTGTGTGACCAAGAAAGGAATAGACTGCGGCCTTAGAATGAACTGAACCGAGCTACCACCCCCAACCATCGTTGGCTCCCTGTCGATTCTAGACTCATCTCTAAGCCTGCCTGCCCTCCTCGCTCATGCGCACTTTTATTCGCCCAACGATATCGCTGATGTTGCTCTGACTGTGAAGCTGCCTTTCGACGAATGTTGTTGAGCTACAATGAAGGACTGAATAGACGCTTCAAGTGCGACGACGAAATTGAGCCATCAGTGGCACCCATAAGCTTGTTGATGTCTCGGTCGAGATACACGGCCGTCTTACAGAATTCACTCGTGCGATGCATAGCGAAATTTTGGCCGCGCAGACGCTCGCTGACTTGAAATCGTTTCTTCAATTGCCTCGAATTGTAGACGACAAAGATATAGCCTGTTGGCAGTTGTCCTCACTAGAGCGGTCGTTGCATATTTTGAAAGAAAATCATTAGCAGACAGGTCGCAAACAAGTAAAATGACAATTACAATGAGCCAACTGGATTTCAAATGAGCCTTTTTCCATTATTGCAACACTACATCTATCCATATAGTTTCCATATTGAAGAAGAAGCATACCGGTTTAACAACGCTTTTAAAATCCACTTGAAGTACATTCAAACACAATATAAATACACGCAGATACATTCTCTAGCCCATCAGGACCAAAAGTAACATAAATTTGGTAGCCTTATTGGTAATAAGTGGTATCCTATGATAATAAAAGCTATCATTACAGATGTTACACAAACTGTGATCATACCTTCGAATCCATGCTCAACGTCGCATTCTATTGTTTTCAACGATGAGCTTTTTGAGGGTAGGCCATTATTACTGCAATCATATAATTTATATAATTGCATTAACTAGGCTCCTTGCCAACTTACCTGCACTTGCCACAGAATTTCGCACATAACGAAACTTACATATGAGGCATATCTGCTCGACCATTTTTATATTATTCGTTATTATAATCGCTACGAACCCTTACAGTTGTGGCGTCGCGCAGAACGCAGTGAACGAGCCCAATGAAGTCACGTTAGCTACGGGATCCGGTGATGGCACAACGGTGATCGTATTAAGCGGCAAACAAATATATACGCCTGAAATGACCGGTGGAAGAACTTAGTAAGGGTCACATACACCTTCACAATGATGACCACCATCGACGTGGTGTTTTTTTTACATCGCGTATTCTAGGTTGTTAACTATTAAACAAAGGTGAGCAGCGTGTCTAAGCACACCTGCGCTCCTACGAGAAGTTGCCGAGCCGACACACCTCTAACTGCTTTGCCCCTGCCCCCAACAACTAATGTTTAACTTGTACTAGAGGCCTTGTTCTTCTGTCCGCGCAAAACTAAATCGAAGCCGGACCTGCCCCAGTTAGTTCGATGCTTTTGCGCATCCTCTATGTCCTAATAAATCAGGCCTGCTGTTGTCAGTGACGAGCCCTACTGTTCGATATCGAAGGAGATACCTTCGAGTCGACAACAACGACAATAACTCAGCCAATCTCGAACCCAACCCAACCCAACGCCTCACACATGTACCCAATATGATCATTGTTGGTACTTCGCTGTCGCGGACAAACAACTTTAATAATCATTGCCTATCGAGGTGGACTCGAACCGGGAGAGCTGCCAGTGAAGTGACCGCTAACGGCCGACGCTAACGTTCCACGCTTCGCTCTCGGGCCATTTCGTCTCAAGCTACGTTTCGCTATTGGGCCACCTAGTTTCAGTGTGGGCTTCGTGCCGCTGACGCTCTTGTTGACAGTTCCAACTGATACGTGGACTTTGACACAAGAATCACAATGAGCATCACTCACAAATACGAGGTACTGTGAAACAAATCTATCTAAAACAACGTCCCAAAGTCCGCGCAGGACAGTAAGAAACAGAGTGTTTGCACTTCATAGCTCTATTTATAGTTGGCATTGCACTGCATTGGCCATGGGAACCAGCTCCGTTGAACATGGACTTAGATTGGCGTGAATATTCAGGTTGAAGCCCACGTTAAGTATTTCTCTGTTCAATCCAAAAAGTAATTAAGGCATGGCGATGAGATCTGGCGTTGTCATCAAGTAACTACTTCGCGTGCTTTCTATTGCAGTGCCAAGGGTGCTTTTGAGTCTTTTGAGAACCTCGAGATACCGGACTGCATTCATTGTTCCATTCTTGGTACAGTAACAAATGTTCTGATGTTAGCGTTGCTATGACTTTACGTCCAAAACAACTAGACATTGCACCGAACTTGATTTCTCTTCAGGGTATCGCCATTCTCTTGCTTAGATACTTTCAGGTTGGCAATTGAGGTTTCGTCTATGGCAACCGTATGCTCGAGGCGGGTTTTTGTTTACTAAAATTCCACAAACGTGGAATACATTGCACGCACCATCAAGTGGCCTGGACCATTTCTTTACTTCGTATCTACATTTTCAGTATTCAGATTGCCATTCTTGGCCTAAAGTGAAAAGCCTCCTCGACTGCGCCACTGCAGTCTTGTCCTTTGGGTCCCAACATCTGGTCCCCTCTTCACTGGTCCTCCGTTTCCCACAACGTTTGCAGCACTTACCAACTGTGATTTCGCTTAAAGTCCCCTTGCCTAATGTTCTCGTTAATCTTCGATATAGTTCCACAAAAGGCGTTTGAGAAACAAAAAATTGACCGCTGAATATCGATTTTCGAGGTTGGAGTATTTACCAGCCAAATGATATCCGTCCGCGGCATGCAGTCCGTTAGGATCCCAGGAAGGCCAGCAATTGCAGTGACTGGTTTCGTTAATGTTGTCAAAACTCTTACTATCTATATATAATTATTACTACTTACAACTATCTTACGACGGGACAGTGTTTAAGGCTTCGAAAAGAAAACCTTAAGCATTGTGCTGATTCTGTGTATCTGTAATAGTATACGTTTGTGTACATCATTGGATATTAGGCGACTGTTGAAGGTGTAGTCAGCGCCCTTAGCAGTTCCATTGAGTATGACCAATTTGCCCTCTTCTGGCAACTATCATTAGTTCTTTTATCGTTGGTCGCCGAAATCGAAAAAAAAATCTTCAACAAATGACCATAATCAGCAGACAGTCTAAGATTAGCAACGTAAAGCCGTTATTACCTGCCTGATAGCTAACTAATTATTATTGCTTATGTACAACTATATTTACTAACCATTGCTAGCAGTCAAATGCGAACGACGTATGAATTTTTAAAATGTCTTACATGCATCTGTCGATGTCCTAAAAAGGCAGCGAGCAAGCGAGTGCCGCAGGTCAATTCACAACGCCTATGCCTTCTCGACGGCGTTTTCTACATATCACGGGTGACACTGTATATTTTTTCTATCGTTTGCTATTGCGGAACGACGCTGCGTTTCTGCGCGTCCATTTTTCAACGTAATATCCACGTCAAGTTACCAGCTCCCTGCCTCCTGCTAAAGGGAGACGTTATCCGTAATTAACCTGGATCATCTATGCGGGTGACTTGACAGTACCAATGGCAGCAGTAGCAGCATTGTCGACAATATAGTCGCGGGTTTATGTACACGTACTGCTATTGCTAAGCGTCGCTCTGATAGCTAGCCAACCAGCAGAACATATGCGTTCTGCCGCTTCTACGGACGCGGCATGTTCCTCATAATTCGTAGTACCGTGGCGACCTACTCATAGGCCTGGACGCTAATGTCTTCACCTAGTGGTCACTGTGGTTCTGGTCGGCTGTTGTAATCACCTACGCTAACATTCACACATGACATCGCACACAGCCACGTTCCCCTGTTCTATAATAATAGGTCTTTAGATCTCGCGATCGGCTCTCCAGTAAGGCGGCAGAGGATAGAGGCAGGCCCATTCGGCCGCACTCACGAGAGGAACCTCACAGCAGTGTCGAAAGTCTTACGGAGGCAGAAATAGCTTGAGTGGATGGTGGTTAGCTAGCTCCCTGGGGTTGCCAAGACCGGACGTAGCTTCACTGGCACATGCGGAATTGGGAAAGGAGAAAGCAAACGCAGGAACATTTAGTCGTATATATTCCTGTAAGTGCCTTCAGAGTTGATCCCCTGCCACGATGGCTGCAAGGCCGCATTCACAATAGCTGCCTGGTTGGCTTAGTCTTGTCCGCGACGATAAAGGAAGACGCCACGATCGCAGCCACAGTGGTAGAAGAAACACCAGTACCTCCGGCGGCAGAATGAGAAGGGAGCAACTGAAACAAAAGAGGCTATGGCGACAGCTAGAAGAATCGTCTTGTGCGGGCTAATTTACGTTCGTATGCTTGACACGCCAGCGTAGCTGACATCTAGAAAGGTTCCCCAAGAAATTTTTATATCTGTTACCGTGGTAATGTACAGATATAAATACGTTGTTGTGTTGCTATACATATTGGTTTTACATGTGAACTAATATTGATTCCCTTAACTGCTTCTTATCGAGAAAACATTGATAAGACAAAACAATAGAATTACGCGACGACAGTATACGACGATACAGTGATGAATTAACTAGAGGTTACATGACAATCAAATGTCCATCTATAGATGTCGGCCGTAGATAAATGATAAGTATGTTTGATTCATAGTGCACATAGCCATTGGTACATAGTGTAGATGGAATATCATACGCGCACCCCTGTACGCAGAACTAGCGTATGTGCGCATAGCACCCGTACAGAAACATCATACACGTATCATGTTATCATCTAACGCTCTTAGTAGATGGCATTGTCGTTTAAGATAACCGACGCGAAGCAAAAGGACGCAGTGTAAAAAGGTCGGCGGTTCGGACCGGTTGGGCCTTCCATAATCAACATCGAGTCATGGAAGTGCAAACGCTAAAATGAGTCAAACACTCACTTCGCTGATGTGCGTCTCGTTAGTGCCAGCACCACTACGAGCAGCAACGGCTGCAGCGAGAGTAAAAAGGGTAGCAAGTAATCTCGTTTAGTGGAGGGGCTGTTCTTTTACAGCAGCGTCGTAGCAGCAGCTACTCAGACAACGCAAGTTCAGCCAGTAACTGCGGGTATGCCGACGGGCGAAGCGGGAGTTGGAAGTGCTGGGGGCAAATGCAACTCTAGAAGCCGGGCCAAGTGCGCCGCATAACAGCATGCTGGTGACTCATTTTAGCAAAATTAGACGACATACGGCGTGGGCAGTGGGCGCGCATAGGGGAGACGGCGGTAAGTGCCCAAGTTGTCTGAGGTTGCCATCCCATAGTTTCATTCGGTCGTTCTGTTTCTATACATCAGAAGTATCGTACCGCTTAGCACGGTTGGTCCTTCAATTTTGATTCCTGTGGGCCTTTTTTCTACGTCTTTACTTCTCTCTCTCTCTCTCTCTCTCTCTCTCTCTATATATATATATATATATATATATATATATATATATATATGCACACATATAAAAATTAGAGAAGGGGGTGGGGGTATAATTTTCATGTAGGAGATGCCAAGAGATTAAGCCACTGCCGATTATTTCAGCCTGTCATTTAACTGTCATTCGTTGAATAAGCCACGAACAGCGAAAAAGGCGACGGTCAAAAATTAGCCTTACGTTCGATACAAAATTTTGGCCTCAGCTTCATTGGTTTTTGTTGCCGCCTTATACTTACTATATTCGCTTTGTGAAGTGTCAGGGTAAAAACCAAAGTAAAACGTATATTTAGTAAGATAATATTTCATGAGTACCTGCATGACGGTACTGGACAGATGACTAACTACTTTAAAGGAAAGCGTTCATATACGTTGCTACACAATACGATAATGGATCACAGCTATTGCAATGGAGTTTGGTGATATTTTTAGATAAACCCTGTCGAGTGAATTCACACAACGCTATATGAAAAGATGGCTTGTCGCCCAATAGAAGTGATTATTTCGCACCCTGTAATATATCGTAATATATCGCTGCTTATCTTCTAACTCGAGCATCGTCAACGAAAGTCTTATGAGCGTAGTAACACAGTCGCCGATACTGCGCACTGCATAGGATGCTGCAATGAATTGAACAAGTCGCAAGCGTACAAGTAGTATGGATAAAAGTAGTAGCGTTTCTCAGATAGAACCAAGGACTGTAACTGGCATTGTTGCCCCATAGCGGAAAAGTGGCGA